CTCCAGTCTGGGTGACAGAGTGAGACTCCAACTCAAAAAAAAAAAAAAAGGTATTCCAAGAGCTAAGGTTATCTATCTCCCAAGTGTCAGACAAGGGTCAGACCTTTCTTTGAAATGTTTGGACAACCAAGACCTGATGAGTTAATCCTTTACTGCACATCACTGCATGTCAGACTCCTCACACACATGTATTTTCTCTACCATTTCTTCTAACAAGTTTTTAGAGATACATATAACCCATTTTAATCAATTCAACAATGCACATCTGCCAGTTTTCATTGTTAGAACAGAAGAGAACGTGCTCTCTGAAAGATCATATTCAGTTGTTTATAGTAGATCAAATGTCAGACATTTACCTTCAGGCTGTGGGTGGTGAGGCTGAGTCGTGTCTCTTCTTTTGTTTAAGGGTGTTTGGCCCCCAAATCCCTGTCCCTACACATGGAACACAATGAATCAGCATTTCCCATGGGCAAAATGTATCAAACCAGGGGACACATTTGGGCTCAATATGGTCAAGGGTCAGAATGTCATCATCTTTATCTTTTGTGGGACATCTTTTCATTTTTGTTTCCTGAAGGCACTTTTTTTTCTAGGTTATTAAATATTTTTTTAAAAAGGCATGTATCTTGGACTCGAAGAAATTCTTCATAGAGTTTTAAAAACCAGAGCAGTTTTGAGGCTCTATGAGGAACTCAGGGATACCTTACATTTTCTGAATTTGACTCAGATACTGCAGGAGTTGAGAAATGATGCCAGAACTGACTGGAAATGTCTATACTCTAACCTGAAGCCATTGGTCTTTGTGATAATTGTGGCTTAAAAAGTATGTGACACTAGACATTTTAAACAATCATTACTAATAGTGAGAAAAAAGAAGAAAAAAAACCCTGTCACCTAAATTATAAATACGTTTTTAGTTGCTTGTATTTTAAACGGAATTTGCATCATTGTGTTTGTATACTTTTGAATTTTGTTCTTTTCACCTAAAATTGTTGTCTGAGTAACAGTGCTTTTATAGAAGTTTGTAGGAATTTATCTTTGGGTACAAAGAGTCTCCCTGTTTGCAGGGATGGGATGGATGGGAGGGGCAGATCAGTGGTCTCTACTTGAAATGGTTAACATTTTATAAACCATCTTCAGTTGGGGGTCTTACTCAAGGATGCCAGGACAAGGCATCACTTTGTGGTCTCAACCTGGAAGCATCCCTGTTCATGTGGGAGGATTGGGGAGAAGCTCTGAGCAAGCTGAGCGCTCTCAGGGGTGCACTGATACCAAGGGGCACCGAACCCCTTGGTAAGTTCTGAGAATTGACTGTTCCACTGAGCACATATACCTGAGTTTGTTTCAAAGATAGCCAAGGTTCAAAATTGCAGGAGAAAGGTGACCACCTGATAAAGTTGCTTTTTTTTTTTTTTTTTTTAATAATAGTGGCTTATACTAAACTGAATTATCATTAGTCCTCACATTTACTAAGTACCACCATTTCTCCTTCTCTCTCACAGAGCTCTCTCGCAGAGACCCTGGATAGCACTGGCAGTCTGGACCCCCCAAGATCAGACATGATTTACACCATAGAAGATGTTCCTCCCTGGTACCTGTGTATATTTCTGGGGTTGCAGGTAAGATGGTTCCTGTAGAGTGTGTAACCACCAGCAGATGCTTGAATTATCTGTCATCTGGATTTTTAAAATATTTGACTTCGATTTTTAATTATTGAAGACTTTATCATAAATTCCTTTTTTAAAAATGCTGACTGGGAATGGTTATACATCAATTTCATTATAGTAGGAAGAAGAAAAGAACAGGAAGAGTAGTTAACCAGGGAAAAGAAAGAAGGAAAATGCTCAGGAAGCAAGCGAGAGGAGTGATATAAAGGAAGGGGGAAAAGCTAGGGTTACAGGAATAAGGGAGACTGGAGGAAGAAGAAAAGTGGAAGAGGGAAGAGCAATTAAGTTTCATCTTCCAGCCTGGCCTGGTTAACCCGGCCACAGTCAGGGCAAACTCTGCCATGAAGTATGGATGGCCCTAAAAGTGCTGTGTGGGCCAGAACTTAAGTGGGAGGTTTTGGTCCTATTTTCTCAGGGAAGGGAAATTTTGCCGTGGTATCAGCTGCAGCCTTCAGCGGGAGGAGAGGGCAGGGCAAGTGGGCTGGGGGCCGAGGGGCTGGTGACACAGCTGCTGGAGGCCTGCAGCGCCATCTCTCTGGCACCTCCCTGCCTCTCTCTTCAGCACCCTTTTCCCTTTTACAGGTTTGCAGCAGGGCTTTTTGGAGAAAGGGGACAAGGCGGGAGGCTCTTTTATTAAACACCCACCCCTGGTCTGTATTTGCTTTGTTTTTAACTTGGACTCTGTTCTGAGGTCCAGCTTTCCATTCTTCCTTTCTCAAGTTGATGTGATCCGTTCTCCACCTAAGTTATCTCAGATGCTGAGAAAATTCATCTCAGTACCCAGCCATGTTTACTCACTTTGGAGTGGGGCTGTGCCTGCCAACAGCTGATGTTTGGATTGGGTTTCCAGCCTCCCATCTCCCAACCCCCCAACCCACTTTCAGGTATCAAAGCACGTGGTGACCTGGACTGTCAGGTGTCTATCCGGTGAAAGAGGAATCGGAGCTAGAAGAGCTGAGTGGCCTCGGGAAATAATTTACCTTAGGCCAAGTATTCTGAACCAGATTCAGGGGACATGCTTTTTGGAATGTTTATATTATAGATATTTCTAGAAGTCTTCTTGGTCAGATAGGAATGGGAAACCTTGCCTGTGTCATGCCCTTCTTGACGACACAGAGTACATGAAGTTGTAAGCAGCTCTGAGAAATCCTGCACAGGAATGTTCTGTCCATTTCAGGAAACATCTATCCTGTTTGGCTTTATGGGCTTCGTGTGATATGCTTGGTAAACATAGGCAGAAATGGAAAGCTTTTGGGAAGAAAAGTAGGAAGTTTGCACAACAGAAATAAGAACTGGTCTACTAGAGAAGGGAAGGAAATAAGTCGTGTGGTCTGGGACTATACTACCAGGACCATGGGTATGGGGAAGAGGTTTCCCAAAGGATGATTTGGCATATAGGAATGTGTACCTAAAGTGAGTTCTTTCTGGAACTCAGTTTCTGTATAATCTTGACCTTGCCCTGACTGGAACAGGTAAATTTGACATTTGCAAAACAATGTCACCCCATAGAAAAAAAATAGAAAACGCCTCATGCTTACATAGCTTAGGAAGCTTTTATAACTTTAATTCCCAGACATGAAAGAATTTTTTTTTAAGTAGACTAATTATCTTGGGAATGTAGATGTAAAAATCTACACAAAATATTAGCAAATTAGATCACAGGAGAAAAATGCAGCATGACTAACTGGAGTTTGTTTGAAGAATGCAGGAAGGATCCAGCACATCACAATTCCTGTCACCAGGTTAGACGAGAAAGGCCTCATGGTTTTAACAATCGATGCCAAAAAAAAAAAAAATCTTGCGGGGGAAGTGCAGATACTTCTGATAAGAATTATAGAAGTAAAATAGCACCAGTGCCGTATTGAGCTTTCTTTGTAATGGCACGGGTTCATGCAAGTAAGTAATTGTGCCAGTGAGTAGTAAGACACAAAAGTATAATAAAAAAGAGAAACGTTAGCCGGGCTCGGTGGCTCAGCCTGTAATCCTGTGCCTTTGGGAGGCTGAGGTGAGTGGATTGCCTGAGCCCGCAGATTCGAGACCCGCCTGGGCAATTTAGCGAGACCTCGTCTCTACAATAAAATAAAAAACTGAGCCGGGCGTGGTAGCTCGTGCCTGTAGTTCCAGCTACTTGGAAGGCTGAGGCGGAAGGATCGCTGGAGCCCAGCCGGTCGAGGCTGCGGTGGCCGGGAGCGGCCAGTGCACTCCAGTCTGGGTGACAGAGTGAGACTCCAACTCAAAAAAAAAAAAAAAAAAAAAAAAGGGAAATGCCAAAAAAGAAGAAAAAGTGATAAATGTATACTTAAAAAACCAAAAAGATTCTTCACTTGGGCTATTATGTCAAAGGCAGTAGGGGGGCAAAGTTGGAATAAAATCAGGAAAATGATGAGGAAGGGCTTACTGTGTCTGTCCATGTCTCCTGCCCGCAGCATTACCTGACATGCTTCAGTGGTACAATTGCAGTACCCTTCCTGCTGGCCGATGCCATGTGTGTGGGCTATGATCAGTGGGCCACCAGCCAGCTCATTGGGACCATTTTCTTCTGCGTGGGAATCACAACTTTGTTACAGACAACATTTGGATGCAGGTGAGATTGGGGTACTAAAGTGGGATGCTGAAGCCCCCAGAAGGCATTGATTGAGCCTAGGGCTGCTTGCAAGGACCAACCGGTGAGGGGGGAGAGTCCTAGTAGCCCTTGGTCCTCACCTCTGCAGTGTTCTTTCCCTACATTTCCTTTCTTGGTCAATGACAACACTACCACCTTCCTCCGCCCAGTTGTACAAGCTGGAAACCCAGCCTCACACCCTTCCCCTTGTGCCTCGCAAGTCTTGCCCACTCCTCAGCCCCCTTCTTCACCCTCATTCCTTTAGTTCAGACCCTGAGTGTCCCACGAGGCTCCCAGTTGGCCCCCCTGCCTCAGGGTGCCTCTCTCCAACCCAGTCTGTGCTCTGCCCCAGGTGCCATCTTTTTGACATCCACTTCTTCTGGCCAGGCTGCAGCTCCATTCCCTGTTTACAAACCAGGATGTGCCCAGTGTCCAGGCTTGTCCTGGCTGTCTGCCCCACCTACTCTTCTAGCCATGCCTCTGAGCCCTGCCTCCTACCCTCCCTGCTCGTGCCCTCAAGGGCCTGCTGTCTCACCCTCGCTGCCTTTGCTCCCCACTCCCTGGCACACACCAACTCATCCTCTGGTCCTGGCTTGTCCTTCCCTTCTATGGTGCATCCTCCACCTCCCCAGAAGCCTCTGTTCTCTGAGTTCCTGCACATGCATCTTGTGTTCATTCTTCTAATGTGGCTCCTATTCCAGTTCGTCCTTTTTGTTTCTGTGTCTTTTTCCCCCTGGATTGTGCTTCCCTCCTCCATGCCAGGGTGTTGGCCTGTTCACCTTTGCATAGCTGGATGTGGGCTGGCACAGGAAGGACTAGAAATGCCCCTTCCTGACTCCTCCTGCACGTGTGCCTTTTCCTCTCATTTCCCTACCTTCTGCCCTCTTCATAGTGTAGCCTCTCGCTTCACCCCAGGGCACCGCTCAGGGTTGGGGCCTACTCTGGCAGGACTGTCCTCAGAATACACTTGCGAGTTCTGTCTCTTGCTCCGTCAGAGACAGTTGAGCAGGACTTGGCCTTCCCTGCCAGGGGAAGTGGGTGTGAGAGAGATTCAGCATAGAAGTCAGCTTGGAAGTCACGGACTGTGTTCTGATGAGTCAGAATCCACAGATCCTCAAGGGTTGCCCTCACTTGGGGGGGCAGGGGAGCATCGGCAGTGAGCCATGTTCATGTGTTCTGGTTGGCAGTGTAGGCCACACCCTGGGAGGGTAGGCAGCAGGTCTGCTGATGGACAGAAGCCATGGACTAAAGGCTTTGATGCTGGCAAGCTTGGGGTTCCTGGATCTCACCCTCTTGCTAGTCTGCCTGTAGCCACCATAGTGAGCCTTAGGGGCAGGGCAGGAGATGTGGTCTGGGCTGTCCAAGGAAGACTTGAGCCAGGCAGTTAAACTTGGCTGGCAGCCTCTTTCATTCTTTGGGTATGGCATTCAAGGTTCTGTGCTTCCAGGCCAGAGTGCTCAATGGAGTTTTTGCTGGCTGACTTGGGAGCCTTACCGTGCACACAGGACATGCATTCTCTGTGGAAATATTCCTTTTCTGAACTGCTGACCTGTGAGTGGATCTATAAGCATTGTCCGGCTGTAAATTCGGGCAGTGTCTGTAGTGGAGGACTGGTGATTGACTGAGCGGGGAATGAAAGACATCTTGATGGCAGTGAATTATGTACCGTGTCTGCTCCGCCCGGCCTCATGCCAAGGAGGCCATTCTCAGCTGACAACTGAGCCTGGCGGGCATGGCTGCCGAATGGTGACACGGTAGGGGCGGGATTGGGGGAACTCGGATTGAGTACTTTTGGTCATGGAGGACATCCTCTTGCCTGCTCTTGGGACACAAGGCCTAAATAGAACAGCCTGGGTCAGTGCAGTTCGCCTCCCCCAGCCCCTTCCAAAGAGCAGTTGAGCTGAGCAGGAACGGGGAGGGATTTGACATCCTGCTGGTATGGCTCAGGGACCCAAAATGTGGAGATGAGGCCTATGGGGGTGGAAGGTGTCTGTGCACCCTGTGGCCAGAAGACTTGGTGGAAGCAGCCCTTCCTTGCTTTATGGGAAGTCAGGGAGAGCCTCACTGTGTCCTTTGGCAGTGTGAGGAGCAGTGGCTTCTGTCCTCCGCGTAGTGGCCATTTGTGTAGTTGTCAATCAGGAGGTGGTGACACATCTGATCACATCCATGCATATATGTTGCAGGGCAGGTGAGGGTACATTGAGGGGCCGTGGTGTGGCATTGGCCTTTGGGGTGTGTTTCTGTGACTGATGGTGTAGAAGTGGTGTTCCTACTCTTAATCTGGAAAAGAGGGAGAGTACTGACTCAGTCCCATAGATACTCAATGCCTGGGCCTGGCTGTGGTGGTGAGCAGAGGCGACGGCAAAGTACATGACCCACAGCATGAAGGGCAGAGTCATCGGGAAGATAGAGTGGTGTCACAGGGGATATGACAAGAGTCGTGGAGGAGGTGGTGTTCAAGACAGGTCCTGAAGACTCCACAGGCTCTCTCTCCGGGAGGGTTGAGGGAGCAACTTCCATCCTGGCTGGGGTGGGATCAAAGACAAGAAGTCCTGGCCTGGCATGATTCTCCTGACCACAGCACTGAGGCAGGGACTTGGGCATTGTCAGCAGGACACAGGGAACCTGCAACAGCTTTGTTAGCATGGGACTCACCTACTGGGCGTACCTTGCAGGCCGTCACTTGGCTACTAAATATAGGGGATGAGGACCATTCCAGGGGATCAGCGATGTCCATGAGAAAAGTGATATGAGCCCAGACAAGCATGGGGGTGTGGATAAGAGACCACATGGAGTGGGACTGTGGATTCAGAGAGAAGGAGGGAGAGTGTCTGCGTGGTGAGTTTAGTTTCAGCCATGGTCGAAAGGTCCATTCCTGCCTCGGAGCTATAGCTGGAAAGAGAAACATGTAGCATGCCTTACGTGTCTTGATTACAAAATCTAGCCAAGTAGATTTGAGAGCACCTTTGGGATGGGGAGGGGGAGCGCCCCAGACACATGCTGCCCTGCTTGCATTCCTGGCCCTTCTGGCACTTGAATTCTCTTGTGCTAGTAGGTGGGCAGGGGCTCAGAGGCAGAGTCTCCCTCTCAACACAGCCTCAGACACTGTTGGGAAATTCTCTTCTGTGTGGGTCCAGGGTGCACTTGGGGGCCAGCTATGCAGGGGCCTGTGTGTCTGAGGCAGCAAAGGTGTGCTGAGGTGGTGAAGTGGGTAATTACTTCCCTCGCTGTCTGTCTGGTCATCATCTGGGGGTGTTTGCTGCACCTGGTATTCATGCATTCCTCCCATCCCCCTGCATCTCTCTCTGTTGTGTATTTGCCATCCCTTCCTATTGAGACTCTGACTCCTCCACCCCCATCTTCTTCTCCTTCTCATGGGTCAGAAAAGCCAGGGCTACCCCATCAACCCAGCCACCTCTCACACCCTTGTTCCAGGTTTCCTCTGAGTGTCATGAGGGAAAAACAGGAATCCCAAGTGTAAACAGGTATCCCATGACTATAACCCCTGCTCCCCCAGCCCCACGCCCAGTATTTCTGCAGAGAAAGGTTGGCAGCCAGACCTCAGTAGAGTAAGAGACTTTCCTCTGGTACTTGGAACCCGACTCTTATTCAGGACAGCATCCATTCTAGGGGGCTCACCAGAGTTGGCCCTGCCAGAATTGGTTGCATGACCAGGGATAACAAAAGTCACGCTGGGGATAAATTGATGAAATTCTAATCTCTTTGGCTGTCACAACCTGCACTTCCCAGGGTAAAGCATTCGTTCACAGCATGTGGCATTGTGACCCTGGACAGATGGTCTTCAGTTCTGTTTCCTTTGTGGCAAGAGGAGGCTTTTCCCTAAGGAGTCCTGTGTATGGTGCTTTGCCCTTATTTCAGTGAATCTATTGTGATTTTGGATATCATTGTGTTTTCTCAATGCTTTTGGGAAGTTTTGGGGCATGAGTAACATGAAACTTCTTTTAGTTCTGCTAGTTGCTTGATAGACCTGTGGGCTGTGATTTATCCTTTTATTTCCTGCTCAAAACAGGATCGAATAGATAAAGCAGTTAGGACAGAGGGGATACAAGGGCAGCCAGTGGAGAGGAAAGGCAGGTGGAGCCAAGAGTGTGCGGTTTATTCCCAGCGTCACAGCCATAAGGATTGCAGATGGCCTCTGTAAGGTTTTTTTGGATTTTTTTTTTTTTTTTTTGGAGCGACTCACCACTCATTTCCTTCAGCTTAGAACAGCAGAAGGAAATTTTTTTGTGTTCAGCTTTCATGATTGCTAAGACAGATTCTCAGACTTTTCCAAGGCCAGGGTGATTCCATGTTGCGTTTAAGTTCGGTGTGTTTCTTTGTGTATTTGCCTACCCTTTGTGAGTCCCCAGTTCCTCCATCGTACTGGATGTTGTGGGTGCAAGGGGCCTGAATACAAACATTGGTCTGTGCCTCCGAGGGATGGGCCCTTGATTCTGAGGAAGCATCGGGAGTGGAGGAAGAAACAAAGTTGAGCCATCCCACCTCCTCCTTTTCATGGCCTCTATGTTTGAGTGCCCAGAAACCTGGCTCATTGCATAAAAATAACTAGCTTTGATGGGAAACCAGTGAAGGTGGAATAGATGTGTGTCTTTCAGACCTAAATTTAATATAGGAGGCCACCCTTAGGATGCCACAGTGTGAACAGTTCGGGGGGTATGTTTTCCTGTGCTGACTGTCCTAGGCCTAGTGACATGTGTGAGCTGTGCATGCTGGAGACCCTTCTCCTCTGCTGCACCTCTCCCTTGGCATCAGAGTGTTTTCCTTTCCTCCAGGGACCAACATGTTTTTGCATTGGAGACTGTGGGTCCCCATTGTCGACGACTTCTGGGCTTTCAAGCTTTCTAGAGCCTTTATCTACTGGGGAAAAGCAGCATCCTTAACAGCTGCCTCTTCCCTCTCCCTCCTCCTCTCCACTCCTGCCTTTTCTTCCTACCCCCTGTCCTTTGACCTTGATCTCTTGT